ATGTCTCAAGTACACCGTAATGGGGATGATTAAGAGAAGATAAACATGTCGAAAATAATTCAATCTGTTTTCGTCGATATAACGATTTTTTTATTCTTTTGAGTGACACGCTTTCTTCAGATGAATTTTTAAAGAAAAATAAAAGATGATATAAAAGAAATGAATTCAGATTGAGAAGATTGTTTTTTTATCGAATTATTCCATTCGGAGTTCTGTTAGAAATGAACAGCATTTACTATGCATTGCACGATTTATATTGCAAGTATAATGAACTGTGTCGATGTTATGCATGTCAGACTTGTTTGCCATGCGATGAAGAAAACAATATTGGGAAAAATGTGTTTTGATCACCAAAAAGTTCAGTTTTGATCACCAAATTTTTTATCTGTGAAATGATTACAAAACAATTAGTGTTTTGATCACCAAGTTAATTAAGACATGAGTAAATTGAAGTGGCATGGTGTGTCTGTGGGTATCCGATGTGAGGAAAAGTTTAGAACTCAGGTTGGAACCAATTATTTCGTTACTAAAGATCGATAAAATCGATCAAATAGCAGTAACAAATCAAATGGATTAGAAAAATAAATCTGCAAATCAGAGAAAAAAACCAGCTGACAAAATCGAAATACAATTAGATTGGAACGGGGCTGATTTATTCGATTTTTAACAACGGAATAAGCAATTTTATTCTAATTTTAAATTCTTTTACACAGCATTTATATTATCTTCATCGAGAAGCTCACCCTCACCTTTACCCACACCCTCACCCTCATTCTCATTTTCAAAATTATGTTAACTCTTCCACTCTAATTGGTACATGCCTTGATTAATTTTGGTGATCAAAACTCAACTTTTTGGTGATCAAAAAAATGCTGACCCAACAATATTATTCATTCTCCGTCGATTTCAAATACAGAAGAGTGTCTCATTTCTTTTTGACGGCAGCGGTCAAATAGAAAAATTGAGCATATATATGTCACAAAAAAAAAATGTTTTGTTTTAAGTAAACATGGCAAATTCTTCTGTTCAATTGATCGATTTACCAGACGAATTACTTTTGATTATATTTAAAAAATTGAACAATGTTGAATTACTTTACTCTTTAATGTGTATTAATAAACAACTCGATAGAATTCTATATGATTCAATAGTTACACGTCGTTTAACATTAATAAGAAGTTCATCTAATAGGCATTTCTTTTCATTAAGAGATGAAATGTTAGATCGATTCTGTTTAGAAATCTTACCTAAAATCCATCGTAAAATTGAATGGCTTACTGTCGAATCATTGTCAATGGAACGTATTTTTCTTGTCGACGATTATTCTAATTTATGTCAACTCGATTTCGTTAGCATTCAATGGGAAGGACTTGAACGACTATTTGATGGTAAGATATATATTGAACTTTGATTGAAATATGAAGTAAGAAGAACGTAAATGTATGTTTGAGAGTTATTAAAAGAGAAAAAAATCGATTGTTTGATATAATAAAAAGTACATTTATTTGTTTAGAGAAAAATTCATTGATTAAGAAATTCAAAAATCAGATTTCGACACTTTTTTTTTTCGATTTCTAATCATCGAAATGCATTTACTTACGATATTATAACAAAATTTGTGTTTACAAATATTTTTAAAATATTTCCTAATCTAATTCATTTACGGTTCTTTCCACTTGTCTAATATGGATGTTGGCTATTTATCATTTCATGATGAAATTCCAATGTTTTCTTCTTCTCTCCTTCGGGAATTGCATATTAATGTTTCCAGTTTGACCGAATGTCTTTATTTACTTGATGGACGATTGAATCAACTTCATATTTTTTATGTAAATATTGAAATTATTTATCATATAGCACCAAATATTGATATGAAAGTAAGTTAGAATTTCGTATTTAAGTTATAAAAATATTTCTTATATAGAAAAAATTGGATAAATTGAGGTGTTTTTCATTAACCAGTAAGAATGAAACATTTTGCTATAGTCAATCGATTGTACCACTTTTACATCGAATGTCAAATTTGAAAAGACTTGATTTATATTTAATAATTGATGAGAACAAATTTATTGATGGAAATTGTTTAAATAATGATATTATTAATCATTTGCCAAGATTAAATCATTTCATATTTAATATTCAATCAAGGATATAGGAGTATAATCAAACTGATATTCGATCAAATGAAGACATTCAGATTACATTTAAAACTTTTCCAAATCATAAAGTTATTTCTTGTGTTGATTATTTTTTAGAAGAAAATTTCGCTCGATGTCATTATTATTCATATCCATATACAATGAAAAATTATGATAAAATAAGCAATAATTTTCCAGGTGGATTATTCAAATGTGTTCGTCAAATATCATTATTTGATGAACATCCTTTTCAACATGATTTTTTTATTAAAATATCTCAAGCATTTCCATTTCTTCAAAAATTAACTCTTGAGAATTCTCAACCACAAAATTAAAAAAATCAGATGAAGATGATCAACGTTTACCGATTATTGAATATTCTCATTTAACAGAATTACGTCTTCTTGATGTTCATGATGATTATATTGAACAATTTCTTTTTCATTCAAAATCAGTTTTACCAAATAATATATATTTATCGGTTCAATATGATTCTATCCAAAGTGTAACAAATCATTTCCCAAGAGAACAAACCAAAATTAATTCAACAAAAGTTAAACATTTGTTTCTAGCTGGTCCTGGTCAACACTATTTATCAAAAGACTTCTATCAGTATTTTCCTAATTTACATTCGGATAATTTTTCTTTAATCACATAAAATAAACATAGACAAAAATAAATCATTTTATTGAAAAAAACGAACACATCTATCATTACTGCAATTAGGGGTGCTATACTTCCCGTTCCTTAGTGTTCCGTTGCCAAGGAGCACGAACACATCTGAAAATTCATTTTTGTGCGTTTTCGGACACGTTGATATCTCAATATATATTTTCTTCCATTTTGTAACAAGTTCCTATGGGTTTTCGGATTCCCAGGAAGCAGGAAACCGATAGGTAGTTTCAGGCTCTGTCATTCTCCATGCTATAATCGTGAATATAGTCGTTCACGTACGTTTACAACAGGAATTAATTTTACAGAGTACAAAGCAACGTTCAGATCGAACAAACGGACGCATGCTTGTTAGAGTTCCTATTCCGTAGTGTTCCATTTCAAAGGAATACGTACACATTTGACGAATTGTCTTTGTGCATTTTCGAACGCGCTGATCTTTTGGTCAAATTTTCTTCCGTTTTGTGACAAATCAATAGAAGTTCTTGGGTTCCTTACTCTAGAAACAGAACTCGAAATACATCTTTCTAACAGCTTATCTTAACTTTTATAATGATCTATTAGTTTCCAATATGTAAAGGAGAGTGTAAGCTTCTCTAGAAAATGGCGAAATAATCATTCCTGTAGTCATTATCATTGAAAAATGACATTCACTTCTCTAAAATTTCTTTTGTTGATTTTTTTAAATACATTAAATTGCGAATATGAGTAGAACAAAGCATGTTATTGATTATACGAGCTACCTTTTGAGAAAGGCTCTTTTAAAACTAAAAAAAAATAACTTTTTTAAACTGAGACAAACAATTATATTCCTTAATTTTTCATCATCTTCGGTAGGAAGCAGCAATATTCACAGCATCGTTTAACTGTATCGAAACCACCTTTTTATACTACCAAAGTCGCTCATTGTATACGTCTAGACACGGGAAAATACATAAACTTCTACTTTTAGAACGCATAATGCAACATAATGAAGACGATGGAAAATAAACGATATAATTATTCGAAATAAAAGAGACATTATTGCAAAGTAAATTATTATCAATAGAGCACGCTTCGTTCCATACTATTTCCACTTTAATCTATTGGAGAAGGCCACCAGAACAGATTTCAGAGGAAATGTATACCATGTTTCAATGCTAAGGGCTTCAAAGATTGTTATTTTACCATTTTTTCCAAGACTTTCTTACACTCTTCTTTTGTACATTGAAAATGAAAATCACTATAAAAGTTAGGATAATCACAATAAAAAGAGTCAGATCATCATCTAAAAAGCCTGTTTTTAATTTTTGATTAGTAGGCAAATAGGATACGCAATTGTGTAGAATATGGTGGACAGCATAGCTCTCAAGGTCATTTCGTTCTCAGATTATTGTAATAATGGTACGGTCATTAGATTCTCTCGCAGATGACAGTTTATCTGCGAATTTGTCGAGTAACTACTTTTGAGAATGCTCTCATTTCTGATGCAAACATTGTAGATACATTTTGTCTAGTTTAGACGAAATTGATTCGATTTGAGTGAGATAGTTATCCCAAAAGATGAAGTTTAGATTTGTTTATTATAGATAACTAAATTTAATTAAATTAATTTGTAATGTAAAGATATTTGAATCCTAATGAATTGCCTGTTTGTTGATTTAATATCATCCAATCATGACTGAACTTTTTGTATAATATGTCTTTTATAAAATAAATAAAAACGATTTGGATTATTTTCTGAAAAAGATTATTGTTGTTTGATATCTTTAAGAATAATTTCATTTTGAAGATGAAATCGTTTAAGAGAAAATTCTGTTTGAATATTGTGTAGTGGTCGATTTCGTTCCACTATGAAATAAAAAAAAATATTTGAAAAGAAGGATTGCGTTTTCAGAGTTGCATTTATTTGGGGTGTGTGGATATAGATGTGTTAAGCTAACCGTGATCGTGCTTTCAACCTTGCTTAACGGTCACATCAGACGGCTCGATTTCTATCACGTATTCAAATGATGTGAACATTACGATGATATGAATTGAATATAGGCATATCTATTGAATATTACATCAATGAAATACAATGGTGAATGGTCAAGGACGGTCGTACGTTGGAGACACCTAGTAACACGTTCGGATGTGCAATCATCTTATGAAAAGTGCACTCTCGATCAGCTTGTTTTAAATATATAAAGTGAATTGAACCGTTTTATTTGTGTAGAATTTTTCGATCACTGTTTGGACTCGTAGATATGGTCGTTGCTTTGATAGATAAGAGTGATGAGAGTGCGTTAATGTCTGGCAACTATTTTCGTGATATCATCGCTGCTGAAGAGCTCATCAGATGACTTTGGCTCTATATCTGTTCGGAGAATGATTTCAGAATGACCTATGTATTGTATGTTTCAGAATTCGGAGGGTATAATGCTGCAATAAAAATTTTGATGGATAGGGTTTCTGGAAGCTTATTTATCAGTGTATGTGACAAATGATCACCGTGTCTTGCTTTTGCTCAGATCTCATTGAGCGCAATCGGCATTATGCCTTTTCGACGTTATCCATGTTTTGTTGAAGTTTTTTGGGCGAATTCCAAATAATTGGCATTGTGCATGGCTTTGTGGAAATTAAATCTTTTGTTATTTATTTGGTTTTTTATTATTACATTCAGAGTTACAATTTTTTTATGGCTGAGTAGAGGAAGTAAAATGTCATGTATGTGATTCATGTTGGCGCTCCGATTAATCTAGTTTTGACTGGAGGTCTTGTTGTTTGTTCACGAACTGTTATGTTTTGAAAGCTAACGACCAATCCGTGCGTTTTCGTATTAGTTCTTGTGTGAGATTTTTATTGTTGTAAGTTCTGCTGATAAATTTTTGGTTATAATGTGTGTCATTTTGAGTTTTTTCTTCCATAATTGGCAAATATGCTGTTTATAACTTTGAAGTCTTGCTTCGTGTTTATAATGAATAATCAGGTGTGCGGTTGATTGATATTGCTTGTCAAGTCGTTTATTGTTTGTTTGTATTTTGATATTGATTGCAGTTTTTCGATTCGTTGTAGTCGGTATTCGTGAAGCTATTTGATATTCAGCAACTATCTGTTTATTTAATAAATTGTGACGTAGGTCGGCAAATTGAGTTTCGTCGCTTCTTGTCGATAAGTCGAATGATGTTGGCAAGTACGTTACGGAAATTTTTTTAAACCGACTATGCATGTATCTTGGTGGATAACTATTATGAAAAAATTAGTGTATCCATATTGAAATGAATTAGTAAAACACACCCATTATGTAGTAACATTAGTTTGATTTTTAGTCGTTTTCCACGAAATGCAGATGCTGTGGATGAATACCGTAGTGTTAGTTGCAACGCATCATCAATACTATTTTTGAGAACATGTCGAGGATGGTTAAATTTATATGATACTACATACGGTTCAGCTACTTCTTTATGGTACACTAAAGTTGTTAAGATGTTATTCTTATTTTCAATAAATAGATCAAGAAATGACACACGCCTTCTAAGTTGACGAACTAATTTGATATTCGAATGAAAATTATTGGCTTCATCTAGCATTTTGTTGATTTCATCTAATGTCCCATTTGAAGTAAAGATGATGTCATCAATATATCTATGAATGAAGTATGAGAAAGAAGGAATCTTATTTATTAATATACGAGGGTGTGGATGTGGGTTTGTTTTGAAGAGAATATCTGCACCACAGCTCACACCCACCCGTAGAGAGCTCGAGGACATCTATGTCCTCACGCTTTTTATGATTGCATTTCAATGAAAAACAATTATTGTGCGACAGACCTAAAATGCTGTTTTCGGTTGTTTTTATGAACTTACTCTGTTTTACACTTGACGGCTTTTCATAGAATATAGGAGGGTCATTTTTGTAATTCCGTTTCTAGGAACGAGAACTCGAGATGCATTCCCTTTACTTTTAACGGAACTTTTCTGAGTTCATCAAACGAAAGACAATTTCCTAAAAATTACGAAATTTTATTAAGTTTGACCAAACCTAATCGGAGACGAGGAATCCGAATCTCTAATCAGTTTCTCAAAATTTTGAGTTTCATTTTTTTTTACTAAGAACCTTTTTTTTATTAGTAAAATAATCGTTCATTCGTAAAAAAATTCTATTTGTTAAAAAGTTATTCTTTTGATAAAAAATTGTTTGTTAGTAAAAAAAATCACGCTCATAGTTTCGAGAAGCCCATCACAGATTCAAATTTTTCTACCTCGATCACCTTTCGTTCAATGAATTCGAAAAGGTTTCGTTAAAAGTAAAGAGAATGTATGTTGCGTTCCCATTCCAGTTCCTAGGAACGATGAACGGCAAACACTCAAACATAAAAAGACAAGTGAACATGTTTACAAACGTCGTCATATTGAAACACAACTAGAAAATTCAATATTGAGATGCGTTCCCGTTCTTAGAAACGGAACGCTGACACTCCTAGTAAAATGAATGCAATTCACTGGAGATTGATCATGGAGAACTCGGGAGGCATGTTATTTGGTTCGGAAATATCTTTTTCGATTAGACGAACTTTTTTCTGAAACGTTTTTCATAGAATCCAGAAAACTGATATTTCTAGTTCTTGGTATTCCAAAAACCTTACACACCAAGAGGGAAACAACAGACTTCATGAGACTGTAAATGTAATTCGTTTGAATATTCATGAATAAAAAGAAGTCTATTTATTTTAAAAATCAAATCTATGTATCCATGAATTAAATATTAATTAAATTCATTTGTTCGAGACATTTCAGTATCTTTTGATCAAACCATTTTTTATATGGCATTGCTCTTAACCATTCACTAGGTAATGTTTTATAACCATATCTTGCTCCATACATAGTACCACAAACAGCTCCATTAGTATCTGCATCACCTCCACATCGAATCAAGTCATTTAATGTTTCTTCAAATGAACGTTTCGATCTTAAACCATAAAAACCTGATGCTAAACATTTATATGTAAAGCCTATACTGTTGGGTTCATCCAATTGTAAGTCCTGTAAAGTACGCGATCGATCTGTATGCCATAAGAATGATTTACAATGTTCTTGAGAAAGACTATCACCAAGTATTTGAATTGTTTCATCTTGAACATGTTTAATAAGTGGCTCAATTTCATTATCATGAATTTTTTGTTTAATAAGATGAGCAATAGTCAAACAAACAGCTAGACATGAAGCAATACATCGAGGATCAAAATGAGTAGTTTTACACATTAATATAGTTGTTGATTTAACCTATTCGAAATAGATACGATATTAAATAAATTTTTCGAGGAAGATATTTTTCTCTTTTACTTTTTTCAGATCATTGTAGTGAATAAAAGCCGATGCCGAACATCGCATTACAGCTCCATTTGGTGCTGCTTGACGATTATTTCGTTCCCATACCATTTCACTTACCTTGAGTGGATCATTAAGATATCCATTATTGTAAACTACCTATTATAAATGATAGATATAGTGATTAATAAAAATAAAAGAGTAAAACTTTTATCGAAAATATATTACTTGCTGCACATTAGCTCCTAATCCCATTCCAGCAAAGTCACCTAATTCTATAAAACCATGTTCGATCCATCTCTTCAATTTCTTAGCAAATATTTTCTCATCACCATTGTGTTCAGTTAATGTTTCTAGAAGTAGTATCCATTGATCAGTATCATCAGTCCAATCACCTCGTTTCCATCGTCTAGAGTGTGAAGTTGTGATATAGTTTGGAAATGGAATTAATTTTGAAGAATCTGGATAATTACGTTTAATTTTGTCACGTGTTTCAAATTCAGTCGATAGACCATAAGCATCTCCAAGAGCTTGCCCATAAGCACAACCAAGAAGACGATCAATCAATGCATTGTCATTTCGATTAGTAAATAAACGTTCGAGTAGATCAGGCTCATTAGGTATATAGGCGACATTTGGATTAATGTCATCTTTAAAATCACTTTGGGTTAAATATAAAAACATGGAAAATTAAGTTGTAGTTGATTAGTATAGAAAAAAGCAATATGAAAAGATTGATTTCAACTTCTGCAACTGGATCCCACGAGAAATAAAATTGATCGCATTTGATTTTTATGGTTTTCAAGTTACAATGACTTTCATATTGTCCATCCTTTAGTTCTTTTAGGATCCGCGGAGTGGATATAGATAGATGAGAGTGAAGAGACCATATACATACAGAGTCACATCCACCTGCTAAAAAGACTAAAGTAATCTTACAGTTTCAAAAGATGTGTAGGCATAAAAGTGAAACGGGATAAATTTGATTTCTCATGGATCAATGCATTCCAAAGAATTTCGAATAGTGAAATTTTAGAACATATGAGAAAATGAAATACATCTAATCTTTTTTAAAAAACAAATGAAAATAAAATATAGTCTTTCTATACCTTGTATATACTACTTCAGTTCTGCGTTTTGTAGACGCATTACAACAATTGCCCATCGCAAGTTTTACTGAAAAAAATACTGACTTGGAAATGAAACGACATCTATTCAAGATTTTTTGCATGTACCTGGTTACAAAACTGTTACTACAAAAAACACAAGACAAGATCTAGAATTATATTAAGCGTTAAAGTCAACAAGTAATATTAATTATTTAGATACATAGTAGCATCATACTGAATTAAATCGAAAAGTTGAAAAAAAACAACAGAATTCGTCATGAACACGCAAATTTTTTCCAATTCTTTACTATTGATAGTCTCAATTCGGGTTTAGGAGAAAGAAAAATAACGAAATGGTGTTTAAAGAGAAAGGCAAAATAAAAAGAGAAAGAAAAATAAAAGAACAGAACGAATGAGAACAAGTGTCTTGTAATATTTAAATGGAACTTTTGTCAAACACATTTTATGCGTATTTAAATCCATTTCATACAAAAAAAAACCACGAGTTCGACTGTTCTCGATTTTTTAATGTCGAGCAGGAAAGTCTTTCGATAATTTTTTTCCAACTTCAGTACCAGTCAGAAAGTATTTAACTCGAATTTAAATGGTGGGTTTGAATAGCCAATGAAGTTCTACATCAAATGCATTCCATATCAAACACAGTGGTTTTCAGATCCCAAAAAAACACGTTATGAAAACTAAGCTGTTAAGAGTACCATACAAAATTCTGAATAAAATTAGCGATTGCTGCATTTCCTACGACTTTACTTGAAAAGTTATAAGCGTCACGAAACACGAAAAATGACAGTTTTTAGTAATGATTTGATAAGTTTTGCTTTGTGATGCTTATAACGTTTTAAGAAAACGTCGTATGAAATTCGGCACTATCTCGTTTTGCTCTGAAGTTTGCATCATGAGTCAGACGATGGATTATCGTTTCGTTTTTGTGAATGATTTTTTTGTTTTAGTGCTTTGACTTATGTTCACCATTGACTTGTCTCGTCTTTGAAATCGACAGTCAACATTTGAGAATGTTATACAGCCTGTTCTTAGGTAGTGCACTCGCTCAGTTTTACCTTTCGAATTGTCACAACTTGGCAACTTCATGTAATACAGAGTTGAATATTTATACTGCAGCAAAATATGTAAAAGTTTTAGTCAATTGTTTGAACATAAGTTCACATTCTTCGGAACGATTCTGCTCGGAACAAAACATTTTCATGTATATTAGTAGTTAAAACCACACACTCACAATTGTTTCGTTTTCCTTATTTCGCACAAAATATTCTTGATTTTGGCTGACAATTACCAATTATTTTCACCATTATTCAAAAAAAGGTGATATCTATAGATATAGAATATATGAAAATCCAAAATAAATAAGTTCAATCGTTTTATGTCAGAGAAATCTTCTATTCAACTTTGGATAGATTTATTTCCTTACATAAATTTCATATCGAATTCATTTGAATGTTCTAATTTCATCAAAGCCTTTATGTTGTTCGTCTATGTTAAATAAACATGTTGTTCAAACTGACGTACACACCATATTTCTGAGATATAACTGTTGTCGATTGATTATGTGTTCTCTCTAAATTACTTTGAATTCAGATTTCAATTTACAAAAAAAAAAAGATTTTTTCTTTATTAAAAATAAATTCTAACAAAATTGTTGTGGAGGAGCATGAACAGGTATTTGTCCAAATTCAAATGTATCACTTTCAAAAGCAGCACGTTCTTCGTCAAGAAGTTGATCATGTGGAGTATAATTTGTTGTTTGTATTTGAGAAAAACTATTCGAAGTTTTATCATTATTTATATCTATCATTTCAATATCTGTTGATAGTGTTTTCGATGGTTTATGATTACTTGCTATATATTCATTAATATATGATTTCTAATAGTAAAATAAAATTTATAAAAGAAAATCTAAAAGATAATTTAATACATACCAGTGATTTAAGTGTATCAAGATCAAGTTTTGCTAACCGAAGAAGTTGACGTTCAGTATTTTCCCAATAATCAGAATAAGCTTTTTTCTAAAAATAATTTACATATTATTTTGAAGTTAGTTCATTTTTTTACTGACATAGATATGTTCTTGATTTTCATTTGTCATCTGTCGATGTGCCCATTTAATTTCTTCAAATGATTGATCACTCCAGCCTAAAGAAGATTTTGCAATAGAAAAGGATTTAAAAAACAAAAATAAATTTTAAAAAATTTCTTTACCTTCTAATAGATGTCCACGAGGAAATAGGGATCTTGATGTAAATCGCCAAAAATCAATTGATTTTTGCCATAATTTAGCTTCTCGTTGTAATTCACATCTATTCATAAAGATAATTTATACAAAAAAATGTTGTTAATACAATCTCTACAAGATTAAATAAAATATAAAACAATAATATAACTGTTATTCTCAATCACATAGAGATTATTTTATTCTATCTATTTTGGAATTCATTTCTTTACCATATTTCCAGTTAATCTTCGAGAAATGTAATAAGGAATTAGCTCATATACAGTGTGCGAGTATATGTATATCAACAACGTTTGTTACATCTATGTGAGTGGGAATTCTGAGTTTCTACATGTACACTTCAACACTGGTTTTTGATTGTATTTCATAATAATTCAAATAGAATTACTTACAAGATATCTAATGCTTTTTCTTTATCTGTAAAATTTTCCGCAACCCATGTGAAAATATGACCATATTTTGAATTCTGTTGTTGAGATGCATATCTATTTTCGACATTATGACTTGTATGGCCCTGATAAGCATAGAGTAGATTTTGTCTTGTGTGAAGCATGTTGACTTGTTGGATTATAACTTACGAAAGACGATGCTTTATAATTATAGTGTTGATTGAATGGTGGATGAGGGTGACGCGAACGGTATGATGTACCTAAGAGAAAAAATAAAAGATGTCATGTATTTTAAATGAATATTTAAGATGTACCATGTTGACTAAATGTATGTGGTTCCACGAGATTTTCATGTGAAAATCGACATCGATTTCCATATCGACAATTACCTCGTAAATAATATTGACAAATTGACATTTTGTTTTTATTACGCTTAGATAGATCTTAAAAAAATGTTAAATAGAAATAAATCATTCATGCTAGAATAGACATTTAATATTTAGTTTTTATCAAAAATAATAACAGTTCAATTGATGAGAACAAAATTTGTAGTTTTACAAATAAATTCTAATATAAAGACGAGACGAAAAGTTTAGAAAAGAAGTTTGTTTTTTTTTTTTTTCACTTTTTTCCTTAAGAGTCATAACTAGAACCAATCAGAGAAAAGATTTGTTCTAAATATTATCATCAAAGAAACAAGTCAAAAATATTTCATTTCTCAACTTTTTTGTTTCTACTTTAAGTTCTATGATGCTGAAGTAATACTTGAAGATCACAAAAACAAATAATATGTGAATAGTCAGTCAAAAGTACGTTCTCGTTCATTGATCACATTTAAGAAATTTACGAAAGTTGTTTTATTCAAATAATACAACAATCATGATTGAACCAGTTGCATTTGATCTATACAAAAATAAATAGTTTTATGTGAAATGTTACGTATCTCTACTTGAATAAATATTCTTATTGTTAAGGATGATAATAATAAACTTAGAAGAAAAGTATATCCATTGATTCTGAGTTCTTAAATTCATCTTTCAACTATACAATAGGCTTTAATAAATCTAGGAAAGTCTTAAAATCATTTTTATTTATAACTCTTCATTCTCAACATATGGTTTAACGTAATGACAAAATAATAAGATGTTTCTTCATATTTTTTTCTTATTTCTTATTTTTATAGCATGCGATTAAAATGACGTCCAGCGAATAATTTAACTGGACTCTTTGAAGTATCCAATTCTTCAAAAATTTCACTAGATTTAATTATAAAACTAGTTTCTAACAATTTTTTTTAATGCATTAAAAGAAACAAAACAAGATAGTACTTAAGTGAAACATGGCATCAATAGTTTATATAGAAGTGATGAAAATTTAATATATCTCATCAATGTATTGAAACGAACTGAAATAGAAGCAAGTTTTAACAGCATTAAAAATGAAGAAGGTCGTTAAAAAATGAACCTAACCCCCCTCTAAAAATTCGCTTTTTTTTTAGCAAACAGTCAATTTAGATATCAGAAGTCCATTGCCGTTCAAATTAGACCGTTAGACTTCATTCCGGACGCACTCGTCTTACTCAAAAGTTGATATTTTATTGACTTCCTATTGCGTAATACTATGCAGTATTTATATGGAAAGTTTGTCTCCCTTATTCAGCTCCTTTAATTTGACTAACATATGTAATGAAACCTCTTTCTTTTCACTATCGAATGGCACAGATGAGTATGACAAAATATTGTTATTTTCCTTTTTTTATTTAGATGATGCTGTTCATTTGTATATATAGTATGAGAGCAGTCATGACGAAATTTCCTTCCATTGAGACGTGAAAACAGCGGTCCAATTGAATTATATATTATCCGAAGGGCTTTTCAACAGTAATGGAGTTTAGTCAAGAGTGTCTTCATATTGTACATACAAGTGAGCAAATGTCATCTGTATGCTATTCGATAATGGAAAGAAAAAGCTTTCATTTGATGTATCAGTCAAATCAGAGAAATTGAAGAAAGGAGAGAAACTTTTCATGTAAACACTGCATTGCATTAAGCTATCGATAATGTCGACTTTCGAGTCAGAAAAGAGCAACTAGAATTAATTCTAATCGTTTAATTCAAACAGCAATCTACTTCCAATATTTGAATTGATGATTGGAGAAATAAGAAAGTTAATTTCGAGCAGAGTTGAAACCGGTTGAGAAATGGTAAACCGGTCCGATCCGGGCCGACCGGTTGGAATCACATGTCCAACCGGTGAAATTCCGGTTAAAAATCGACGGAAAAATGTCGAATTGTTTTGAAAACCGGTTTTTAGAAAAAATGGTTCCTACTCTGAAATAGTTTAGGGCGCATGTAAAAGACACTCATCATAATGAATCTTTTTAAAGAGAACCTCAGAAAAAAATGACTAATATAACATATGTTTTGAGCACTTTTTTTACACATTCTGACAGAAAAACCATGTGAACCCTTAGTTTTTATGGTCAAAAACAGGGTTAACAAAGAAGATTTTGGAACACTTTCAATCGACGAAAACCCGGTTCCAACGCTGATATATATATATATGCTGTATATCCATGGGAAACAATTTCATCAACTTTATACTTCATGGAAAAAACCAAAAATAACTTTTTTTTACAAAAAACAGAGAAAATGAAGATAGTTATTTTTAATTTTCAACCGGTGAATTTCCGGTATTTTCCGGACCGGTTCCACCACTGATTTCGAGAGGTAAGCGTTGCTTAGCGACTGCCTCTTTCTTGTCACTATGAATCTCTAGATATTCATTTGCATTGAATGAATTTGGACAAGAAAAATGCAATATTTGGAAATAAACGAGAAATACTAATTTAACAATACAATTTCGATCTCATATTTTTAGTTAAGATCAAAATAGTAGTATTAGAATAATATATGAATCAGAATTTGAAAAATATAAAAACAAACGCTTCTAAGATTTTCCTTATCTCACAAAGAACTACTTTTGGCCAGAAGATGAAATCAAATGCTCGAAATCAGTTGGAGTACTTCCTTCGTTAGATAAAAATTCATATTGTAGAAAATAATGATTATCGTTTTGAAAATGCTGGGTATCGATTATTATTTTTCCTTACGTTTCGATAAGATATTCATTCTATTTGATACACTAAACAATAATATATACCAAAGGAACGAAAGTATGAAAATGTATTCACTATAATGATCATAATTTTTTCTACTATCATATAAAAATTCTGAAAATTTTAAAAATAATATATTAATTCTACGAATATTTTTTAACACTTCTATTACGCCTCTTCTCGTAATTTCCATTCGCTTTCACAAATAACATAAGAGAAAATGTCAAACACTTAACAACATACATATAATAGGACAACAATTTTATGAACGATTCTAAAAAAGACATGCATGTAAAATCCGTCGCATCCGGATCTGATCCCGACTAGAACTAATTCGATAGGCTCTGTATAAATCATGAAACACGAAAAATAACTAAGTAACCACATTGTCCATCTCTCCTGTCCAACATAATGAAGTTTTTCCTTTGTAAACAATGAAAACTAAAATTATTATTATTATTATTGAGCAATAGATTTTACATGACATTAAACTAATGTTAATTAAAAACATTTTCATATACAACACCATTTAAACATTTTTTTTTTGCGTTACGAATCGATTTTTTTTTGACGACTTTATGTATACAAAAATAAATGACTTAAAAAGAAAGGAAAAGAAAAGATGTATAATGCACAATTTTTTTTTTTTTTTTAGGAAAAAAAATGCAATTATTTTAATATTGGTTTTGTTTTTAAATGGAATTTACAGACCATTGTTTTATGATTTGATATGATTAATTGCATGAAAAACCCAATCAACACGTGTTTTTACACTTGATCGATATGATTCAAGTAAAACTTGTTCAAATCGATCACATGCTTCTTGTTCATTAGCTCCAATATCAATAGCAAATGTTTGTCGAATATAAGCCATATCAGCTTCACTATTAAGTTCAGTTAAATCACAATTCATCATTAATTTAAATAAACAAACAATTTGACGATATTGACGACGAAGTATTCGATAACCTTTGATACATAATTTTTTAAAACTAAAAATAGCAGGAAGAGAAAGAAAAAAATTAAATGGTTTTAAAATTGGCTTAGAGTTTTATCTAACTTTTCCTTTATGGAAAGAGAAAAATTCGGTTCACGGTACAATAATCATAGATTCTGCAGCAACAAATATAATTTCATAGGAAACGTCTGTTTTCTGATCTAACTAAATGTTTAACCGTTTTTGTGTAAAGTGAATGTTTTGTAGGACGCATTTGCTGACTAGAAGTCCGTTCTAAGTGATAAATCGTTGTTGACTTCAGTGAAGTATGAAAAATCACAAAAGGATGAATCTTTTTAGGCATTTTCTTTAGAGTTATAAGCATCTATACACCAAGAATTCGAATGGTGAGATTTCGACCTGAAATTTTAACTACAAACAGGTCTACTGAATTTAATTCAATATATTGCCAAGGAAACATTCTTTTGAACTGAAAATTTCAGGACATTCTATTTACCAGTAGACCTGTCAGTAGGATGAATTTCAAATCGAAATACAACTATTCAATTTTTTGGTATATACATGCCTCTCACTTAAATTTCTAGTAAAATCACTAAAACTCTGAGTGAAAGACTTAAGAGCACTCCACTTTTCCACTTTTTTCATATTTTTCTCGGGTCTGCCTAATCCACAGTGTCCGAACTTAAAAACCAGTTTATCAATAACAAGGAAAGGTCCCGAGGTGATTAAAAGCTTTTGAGCCCAATCGTAGGAGATCGATACACTAGAATACTGTCTCTATAATTTGTTTAAACCTTTATTTCAAACTATGTAATAAAATTTTTCATATCTCATTATGATCTAAACTTTTTATTCTCTTTCAACACATAAGATTGATACATACTTTTTAAATTCACGTGTTTCAATTGGATTTTTATCTGTATTATTATTATTAGTAATAACTCGAACGAAATCATCAATAAGTACTAATTGTGTACGTTCACGACGTATACCATATTTCATTTTAAAATTACCCAATATATGTCCAAAATCAATATGAAATAACTGAAGTTCAAAAATGAAATGAAAAAAAGAAAAGTACAACTAACGAGGGAATTACCCCAAGTGATTCACCGTTTTTGAGCTCATACTTTGGGGATAAGTAGGAGACCCCGGCACTAGAATAACCCTAAGAGGATTTGGGCCCATGCGCCTGTGGGGCTGAGTTATAACCGTTTTACTCGATTTTTGCCCTAGGGCACTGGTTCACCTGCAAAACCAAATCAACGAATTTCGATCTGAAATTTTGTCCACGAAGAGGCCTGATGGCCACTAGGATACCCTGAAAG